GGACAATTTTTGAAAAGTTAATGACTAGGCATTTGCCTGGATTGATGAAAAACAAGAATTTGCATATTCAGGATGTGTTATGAATCTCAGGTGGGATAAATTAAACACATGCATATATATGCTCATAGAGAAATACATATGCTAGACACAACATGGTGAAATTCTCGAATGTCAAAAATAAAGAAATATCTTAAAAGAACCAGAGGTACCTACAAAGGAAAAAAAATTAGTCTAATAACACAGTTCCCAATAGCAATGATAGAAGTCAGAAGAGAGTGGAATTATATATAATTCTTAAAATACAGTTTAAGAATGAAGGAGTAATGTGTACATTTTCAGAAAAACAAAAATTTATCCATTATCACAGCATCACTGAAGGCAGAAGAGAGTGGAATTATATATAATTCTTAAAATACAGTTTAAGAATGAAGGAGTAATGTGCACATTTTCAGAAAAACAAAAATTTATCCATTATCACAGCATCACTGAAGGTATTTCTATATGATGAATTTCAGGAAGAAGAAAATGATCCCAGAGGGAAGGGAGAGAGAAAGCTAGTGGGAACTTAGGGCATATCAATATAAGGATATCTCAGAATTTGAGGGAAGAATATACATACTCTTTCCTTCCATTGGGATAAGTTCCACCAGACAAAAGACCCTTGAGTGCAAGTAGTTTATTGATCCCAGGAAGATCCAATAAGGGAGTGTTTAGATAAGGAAAGGAAGAGAAGAAAACCAATGCAGGACATACTAATGAGTGGGTTTCCACTGTGAGCAACTGGAAATAAATTTCCCTAGTAATTTTGAAATGGTGTAAAACTACCTTGGAGATGTTTTACCTGAAGAACAGGATAGTTGGGGTATTGATCCTCTAACTCCTGTGATGACTTTGGCTGAAGGTTGTCTTTAACACTTCTGACCTGCTCCACCTGAGGCTGTAGGAAGAAAAGTACTCAGGCAGAGAGTTGCAGGAGCTTGCCATAGGAAAGTGTCAGGGCAAACACAGGAACAGTGAGCACCACAAGGCTAACAGGCAGAGCAATGGCAGGGACCTAGAATTATAAACCAGATATTAAATAAGTAATTCATTAGCCCATGTTATACAGGAGTATAGTCACATATACCTGTGTATGATCTCTATGATTATCTAGGTATCTATCATTTATGTACCTACTCATCCATCCACCCATTCATCTATCCGTCAAGCTGTCTGCCTACCCACATTTTTGCCTAAATGCTGTCTATTTCTTTATAATCTGTGTGTTCTAAAATGTTTTAATGTGGGAAATAACTTTATGGGAAGGGCTGGGATTGATAAATGTGTATAAGATCAATGTAAAATGTAACGTGGTTTTAGAAAATAATGTGTAATATTCCCATACAAAATTTTCATATTTGACCTTTTCTTAATTTTTTGTTTACAGACAGCTCCAAGAAAAAGATGCCTAATTTGGGTTTTATTCCAGTGTCATCTAACGTGGTTGATAAGTTCGCTGGAGACATTTTGAAAGATTTGCCTTTCCTAAAGAGGTATAGGGCCAAAAATGTGTTTCAATAAACACTTGCGTGGGACGGATGAGTTACTTATTAAAGATCCTTTGAAATGCAACAGGTTAAATAGAGTCCACTACAAGTAATATGTGTTTGTAACACATAATAAATTTAATATCAAGTTTTTCAATGCCCTTTGACCACTGTTAGGTAAAAATCTATATGGTTTTAATCTTAGAGTAAACCATTACAGCCTCGTGTTTTTAATTAATGAATTAATTAATGAATATTTGTTGATTTTGAAGAGACAGTTAGAGACATGGAATGAATTATGGTTTCTTAAGAATCTAATAAACTGCTTTTGGATTCTACTTCTCGTATCATATTAGAGAAAGAGAAAGGGAGCTACAATTTTCAAAAATATTATAAAGTAAAATTTGTGCTGTGTTATATTTGGAGGACTGCAATTTAAAATATGCAAATATTTCTTTTGTTTCACAGCAACGATCCTATTGTTACTTCACTGATTAAACAAAAGGAATTTGATGAACTGGTGCACTGGCATTCTCACAAACCCCTTAGTGATCATTACGACAGGACAAAGTGTCAATTTGATGGTGAGATCTGTGACTCTGGTGAAATAAATTCAAAGCAATTTCACTCTCTGCCTTGTATTTTATATTGAAAAATTATCATATTATGAGCCACAAATCAAATTTTTAAATAGGAAGAGTCTACTAGATATTTAGAGGTACATCAGGAAAGATGGTAATGAAAAATTCTCACTTTGTTTGCTGACCGTCATACACATGTAGTATGTGGATGTGTTAGGAAGAAGCACATTAGTATGGCTTTGGTATCCCACAAAAGGTAGAAGCTATTTAAAGGAAAGATGGTTTGTAGTTTAAGAAATCTCTGTATTTCTTGAAGTCAAATATATTAAGACCATGGTCTTTCAAGTGATTTCAACCATTTTCACACCACCCAGTTGACTGCTTGTGACAAGCACCAGCATTATATCTGCCATCCTGTTCAGGGTGGTTGAAACTACAAAAGGAGGTCCTTGAAACCATTAGCAGTAGATCAACAGAGACTGAAGTCAGGATCTTGTCTCCCTGGCTCATTCTTTGTCTTCATCTCACCTTTGTCTATCCCTATGCTGACCCCTACCCTCCTTAGTACTGACAAAACTTACTTTCAGAATAATCTAGGATTGTGCATAGTAAGCATGCTTGTGTGAAATAGTTATCAGTCTGCTTATGTCAATAACTAACAAGATCCTGTGAGATGTGTGGGGATACTTTAACCATTAAAGTCCTTCAAAGTAGTTTGGTTTGATGTATGTAGATACGTAAGAAAATTAACTAGTTTAGTCGTTCCACTTAAGTGAGCATTACAGCTTTCTTAAGGGTATGAGAGTAAGTCATATCTTGATTGTTAGGGCTTCCTGTGTCAGTGAGAGCTTTATTAAGCTGTCAGGCTCTTGCTCTGTGGCTATAGTTCAGAATAAGGATGTTTTCTACCCAGTGATGAAAGAAGTTGGAATATATTAGATAGTTGTCTTCTTGACTCTGTCTCTACCTTCCTCTTCTTACCCTCATTCACAGGGCACGTGGTAGAGGTAATGCCCATATCTGTCATTTTTTTGTGGCACCATGATATTTTCTTTTGAAGGTAGACCATGAAAGAGTGTTTTGTCACTTTCTGCTTTTAAGTAAGATGAGGAATTGTTCTACAGACAAGAGATAGCCTGATTTAAAATTTCCTCTTATCAAAGGCAATCAGATTAAGTTACTGTTTTCAACTAGAAAGAAGAGTGCATGTGTGGGGAAGTGGTGTGAAGAATTAGTGAGGATGCTACTGAAAAAATATAGTAATGTTACATTTTAAGTGTTTTCTCTTTCAGAAAAATCCAGAGACCCTCGTGTTCTTAGAGCTGTGCAAAAGTATCATGTTTTTCAACGATATTATGGGAATTCATTAGAATCAGTGTCTTCCAAAATCATCGTGACTCAAGCTATTAATCCAAAGAAGGATTTAAGTGGACCCAAGAGCAAAAAGTCTCATGTAGGTTCAACAAATTCTATCAAATATATAACTTTTCTTTTTTCTTTTCTTAAATTGATATTTGTTCATTCCTTTGATGGTTTCTTTCCATGCAATGCTTCTTCATTTTATATATGATTACTTATTTTACTTACTCATTAAGAAAGTTTAACCTGCATATAGAAAGTTATATATGGTCCTCTATACATAATAAATATGTATTTATTTGAAATAGAATATAAATTAGTTCAAAATAGATGCTAAAAAAAGGAAAAAGAATATAAGGCATTAGGTGACTAAAGGCTTAGATTTAGAAATGTTGAAGTAACATTAAAAATATAGTTCTTTATTAATGACAATGAAAATCTTTTTCATATAGGTAGCAAAAATAGGTATGAAATACCTATCTGCTTATTTTTTTGCTTAAATTGTAAAGATTGTCCACACTTCTCTAAAGCATTTAAGTAATTAAATAATCCACCACCTTTTTCGGGTACGAGTTTATTACTCTCCATTTTCCCTTTCTATGTGGGTTGGATTCCTGCAACCTCAACTTTTTCCTTCTTGGGATTTCATTTTTCTACTTTTCCCAGGGGCCATAATCAGGGATGGAGTACAGGGAGTAAATAAGGAAAGGAAAGTTCAAACCTATTTCTGGAATGATAATACGAATAGCTTATGATGTAAAAATTATCAGTTAATATTCCTGATAATATTAACATCTAAGTACAGAAATTTTTATGTTAAAACTGGATTTATTGATTTATGACTTTAGGGGAAGAAAATACATGTTATCTTTTTTAAAAATGGATAACTCACTTAGACTTTAGTCTATTTTCTGGGCCTCAAAGTTGAGGATTAGGGAAGGGCATTTATTTTTATTAAAAGGGCATTTACTATTATCTTATCAAAGGTTTTAATATATTAGAGAGAGACTACCAACTTAACAAAACCAATCACAGACGGAGGTGTTTGGCATGTCTGCCTTATCAAATTGAAGTAAGCATAGCGAAGTTGTCAGAAATGAAATATATGAGACTCAAAAAAGAAAACAAAGAAACATGTCTACTCTCATGTCTGAACACTTATGTTTAGGAAAATTTTGGCAAGATCAGGAAAGCGGGACATCTCTTTGCCAGGCCTCCAACTAATTCACAGGGAGGAAGTAGAAGTTTCATAACTTCCAAGGGACAGTCATCAGTCCATCAGTTTGAGGACTTATCAAAAAACCTTTTATTTTCTACTCAAGATAACATCAAAAAATGTTCACGGATTACAATAAAAATTCTGTTTTTCTCTCTCCTTTTTTTAAAAAAAATTATTTTATTTTATCAATATACAATGTGGTTGATTTTTGTGTCCATTTACCGAGTCTTCCCTCCCCCCTCACTTTACCCCCCCCATCAACCTCATATCTATTTGCTTGTCTTAACAACTTCAAGGAATTGTGATTGTTGTGTTTTCTTCCCACCCCTCCCCTGTTTGTTTGTGTATTTATTTATTTTTAGGTCCCACAGATAAGTGAGAACATGTGGTATTTCTCTTTCTGTGCCTGACCTGTTTCACTTAATATAATTTTCTCTAAGTCCATCCATGTTGTTGCGAATGGGAATATTTCATTCTTTTTTATAGCAGAGTAGTATTCCATTGTGTAGATATACCACATTTTCCGGATTCACTCATCTGATGATGGACATTTGGGCTGATTCCAACTCTTAGCTATTGTAAACAGTGCTGCAGTGAACATTGGAGTACAGGAATCCTTTTAACATGATGATTTCCATTCCTCTGAGTATAGTCCCAGTTGTGGAATAGCTGGGTCATATAGTAGATCTATCTACAATTGTTTGAGGAAGCTCCATACCATTTTCCATGAAGGCTGCACCATTTTGCAGTCCCACCAACAGTGTATGAGAGTTCCTTTTACTCCATGACTTTGACAGCATTTATCATTCACAGTTTTTTGGATATTAGCCATCCTAACTGGAGTGAGATGGTATCTCAGTGTGGTTTTGATTTGTGTTTCCCGAATGCTGAGTGATGTTGAGCATTTTTTCATCTGTCTTTTGGCCATTTGTGTATCTTCCTTTGAGAAATGCCTATTTAGCTCCTTTGCCCATTTTTTAATTGGGTTGCTTGTTTTTTTTGCTGTAAAGTTGTTTCAGTTCCTTGTATATTCTGGAAATTAATTCTTTGTCAGATGTATATATTTTGCAAATATTTTCTCCTTCTCTGTTGGTTGTCTTTTAATTCTGTTAATTATTTCTTTTACTGTGCAGAAGCTTTTTAATTTGATATAATCCCATTTGTTTATTTTTCCTTTGGTTGCCCGTGCTTTGGGGTTTGTATTCATGAAGTCTGTGCCCAGTCCTACTTCCTGGGGTGTTTCTCCTATGTTTTCTTTAAGAAGTTTTATTGTTTCAGGGTGTGTATTTAATTCTTTAATCCATTTTGAGTTGATTGTGGTATATGGTGAGAGATATGGGTCTAGTTTCATTCTCCTGCATATAGATATCCAGTTATCCCAGCACCATTTGCTGAAGATAGTTTCTTCCTCAGTGTATAGACTTGGTGCCTTTGTCAAAGATCAGATGGCTGTAGGTGTATGGTGACTTGGTGCCTTTGTCAAAGATCAGATGGCTGTAGGTGTATGGTGGATTTCTGGATTCTCTATTCTATTCCATTGATCTGTGTGTCTGTTTTTATGCCAGTACCATAAAGTCAGGTAGTGTTATACCTCCACCTTTACTGTCTTTGCTCAGAATTGTTTAGCTATACGTGGTCTTTTGTTATTCCATATAAATGTTAGGATAGTTTTTTTCCATTTCTGAGAGAAATGTCATTGGAATTTTGATGGGGATTGCTTTAAATTTCTATATCACTTTGGGTATTATGGACATTTGCACAATGTTGATTCTTCCAATCCAAGAGCATAGGATATCTTTCCATCTTCTTATGTCCTCTTTAATTTCTCTCAGCAGTGGTTTGTAGTTGTCATTATAGAGATTTTTCAAATATTTGGTTAACTCTATTCCTAAGTATTTTACTTTTTTGGTGGCTATTGTAAGTGTATCCTGCTACTGTGCTGAACTCATTTATCACCTCTAAGAGTTTTTTTGTAGATGATTTGGGCTGTTCGATATATAGGATCATGTCATCTGCAAACAGGGACAGTTTGACTTCATCTTTTCCAATCTGGATGCCCTTTATTTCCTTCTCTTCTCTGATTGCTCTGGCTAGTACTTCCAACACTATGTTGAATAGGAGTGGTGAGAGTGGGCATCCTTGTCTAGTTCCTGTTCTTAAAAGAAAGTCTTTCAACTTTTTCCTGTTCAGGATGATATTGGTAAGTGTGTTTATCATATATGGCTTTAATTATGTTGAGATACTTTCCATCTATATCTTACTTGTAGAGAGTCTTTATTATGAATGAATATTGAATTTTGTCAAATGCTTTTTTAGTGTCTATAGAGATGATCACATGGTCTTTGTGTTTGATTTTATTGATGTGGTGTGTTACATTTACTGATTTTCATATGCTGAACCAACCTTACATCCCTTGGATGAATCCCACCAGATCATGGTGTATAATTTTGCATATGTGTTGCTGTATTCTGTTAGCTCTTATTTTATTGAGGATTTTTGCATCTATATTTATCAAGGATATTGGCCTGTAGATTTATTTTTTTGTTGTATCTTTGTCTGGTTTTGGTATCAGGGTGATGGTTGCTTCATAGAATGAGTTTGGGAGAATTGCCTCTGTTTCAATCTTTTGGAATAGTTTGTAAAGAATTGGTATGAATTCCTGTTTGAAGGTATGGTAGAATTCTTCAGTGAAACCATCTGGTCCTGGGCTTTTCTTTGTTGGGAGCCTTCTGATAACAGTTTCAATCTCTTTTCTTGTTATCCCTCTGTTCAGATATTCTACATCTTCTTGGCTCAGTTTTGGTGGTTTGTGTGTGTCCAGAAATTTAACCATTTCCTCAAGATTTTCAAATTTGTTGGCATATAGTTGTTTATAGTACTCACTAAAGATTTCTTGTATTTCTGAGGTATCAGTTGTAATATCACCTTTTTCATTTCTAATTTTTGTTAATTGGGTCTTCTCTCTCCTTTTTTTAGTAAGCCTTGTTAATGGTTTGTCGATTTTATTTATCTTTTAAAAAAACCAACTTTTTGATTCATTGATCTTTTGCACTGTTTGGGGGGTTTCTATTTCATTCAGTTCTGCTCCGATCTTAATGATTTCTTTACATCTGCTAACTTTGGGACTGGACTGTTCTTGTTTTTCTAGTTCTTTAAGGTGAAGTATTAGGTTGTTTACTTGTCATCTTTCCATTGTTTTGAAGTAAGCATTTAATGTGATAAATTTCCCCCTTAGTACTGCTTTTGCAGTATACCACAGGTTTTGGGATGATGTGTCATTATTTTCATTAGTTTTAGTAAATCTTTTGATTTCCTGGTTAATTTCTTCTAGAATCCATATCTCATTAAGTAGAATGCTTTTTAATTTCCATGTGTTAGCCTAGTTTCCAGAATTTCAATTGTTATTGATTTCTAATTTTAATCCATTGTGATCTGAAAAAATACATGGGATAATTCCAATTTTTTTGAATTTGTTGAGACTTGATTTGTGACCTAACATGTGATATATCCTGAAGAATGATCCATGTGCTGATGAGAAGAATGAATATTCTGAGGTTGTTGGATGGAATGTTCTGTAGATATCTGCCAAGTCCAATTTGTCTAAAGTGTTGTTTAGATCTTGTGTCTCTCTGCTGATTCTTTGCCTAGATGATCGGTTCAATATTGGTAGTGTAGTGTTCAGGTCCCCTGCTATTGTGGTATTAGTGTCTATCTCATTCTTTAGGTCTAATTGTGTCTGCTTTATAAATCTGTCTGCTCTGACGTTGGGTGCATATATATTTATGATTGTTATGTCTTCTTGATGGATACATCCTTTTATCATTATATAGTGGCCTTCTTTATCTCTTTGTATGGTTTTTGGTTTAAAGTCTATTTTATCAGGTATAAGAATAGCTACTCTGGCTTGTTTTTCATTTCTATTTGCATGGTATATCTTTTCCCATCCTTTCACTCTTAGTCTATGTGTGTCTTTACAGGTGAGGTGAGTCTCTTGAAGGCAGCATATAGTTGGATCCACCTTTGTAATCCAGTCAGCCAGTCTGTGTCTTTTGATTGGAGAATTTAATCCTTTTACATTGAGTTGTTATTGAAAAGTGTTGATTTACTCCTAGCATTTTATTGATTTTTGCTTGGATGTCTTAAGTGTCTTTTGTTCCTTTCTTTCTGATTTACTGTTTGTCTTCTGTATTTGTTGGTTGCATGGGGTGATAGATAAAGTTCTTCTTTTCTTTTGTTTTCTTCATTG